CAATTTGAAACCATCTACCTCCAAGGATAATTCTCACCAAGTAAAAATAATTTCCTACAGAAAGTTGTCAAAATATACCCAAAAGTGTTATTTCCCTATATAAACTATAGTAAACTTTACCCCCTCCCCAAGGGAGAACGGATAGCTCGGGGGTCCTGAAATTTACAATTTAAGTAAAGCCCCTGATGATCTTTCTTTCCACGCAGAGAAAATGAGTGTAGTACCTCTGAGTCTGAAGAAGAAGATTTTTGAAATATTGGTTAATTTTCCCTTTGGGGCCCCGCCCTGGCCCCAGGGGTTGGGGTAGGAATCCCAATTTTACAATTTTAAAGCCTCATCTACCAAGGATGATTCTGACCAAGTTTGAAAAAAATCCATCCACTGGTTCTTGAGAAGAAGTTGAAAATGTAAAAGTTTACGCACGACGCACCCACGACGACGGACGAAAAGCGATTAGAATAGGTCACTTGAGCAAAGCTCAGGTGACCTAAAAAATAATATCATTTTTGTCAAATTTAAGATTAAAACACTTAAACATTTTAGCCAAAATAAATATTGATTTTTCAAAACCACTCTCCAATCCTTGACGAAACTCATTAAAACTGTGCTATAAATATTTCGCTATGTACCAATGTTTATCTATCACTCTCTGTGGAGATTTTTGTAAGCACAGTAAGAATTCCAGAATCTCACAAAAAGTCTTAATACAGAAGACTTATGTCAATTCTTCACAATTAATTCATGGAGAAGCAAATGTTTTTGCACATCTAAGTGAGATGTAATTGGTTAGGTTGCCTAGCGACTGTAAATAATAATGGCATTGCCTAGCAACAGATGAATTTGGGCTGACAGAGGCAGTGAGAGAACAGGTCTACACGCCCTGACGTGGTGACACTTGCCCAGCAAGGAGACAAGGAATGAGTCATAAGACATCGAGTCTGGAGCAGAAAGGCCCTTACATCCTGATCCTCACTCTACAGTCCCTGTCTCCAATAAAAGACACATCATGTGTTTTTTATTCTGAATCTGCGAGTATTCAAATCCTTGATTCATTTTTTTTTCAAATGTATTTCAACACAAGACTGTAATATATATCTTTTCTCGCGTCGATAAATCCAGGTATTGACCGAAAATAAAGGCTACAATTGGTTTATCATTTTACAAAACAGCAATGTAAGCAATCTGAAAAAAAAATACATAAAAAAAGCTTCGGAAGTGGGACGGTGCATTGTTTGGAGACACGTCGTAATTCTATTTTTAGAAACACCCAGTCCTTCAATAAAAAACACACGCTCCAAGTTAATATCGGTTTTTATCGGTGGACACATGATGCAATCCTGGCCAATCACTTGTCAGGAATAATATGAAAAAATAATAAAGTGGGATACAGCAGGTCTGTTCCTATTAGCAGTACATGGGGATTATCACGTTATACATAATATTTGTTTACACATAACTCTAGACCTGCGAGTAGGTAAATATTCATCTGAAAGGTGTCTACTTCCCGATCTTCATTCATGTATAACACTACAAACACGACAATCCCACATGTAACAACGTGGGCATGCAGTTTTGGACACTTGAAATACTCAACGTGATTCCATCACACACGGAGAATGAAGGAGATAAATAAGGAAGTACGAAAGGTCTATATACACTCCGACCAGTCACGGACTCCAAATTAAATCAGTATGTGCCCTAAATTTTATTCGGTTTTCCAGCATTGTTTTCTACGTATTGTCCGTAACATTGAAGAATCGTGTTGAGGCCAGAAAAAAATGTATTAACAAACTGTAAAGTGGAAATTCTCATGTTTTGTTTCTTAAAACTATTCACAGTTTTAAAATGTTTGCGTTGGTAACACTGGTGCAATACACATTTACTGGTGGTTCATGTTTTGCCCTTACAGACTCCACAGCACGGAAATATCTACATTTCTTTTGAAACAGAAACATCAAAACTCTATAAGTGACAATATGACTTGTCATTTACTGAACCGTTTGGATGTTCCAGGCTTAATGATTCCCCTCTGTATGTATCCTCTGTAGTGATGATCAATCATCATACTGTCTCAGTATCTATCTGTAGTGATAAGCACTCATCATACTGTCTCAGTATCTATCTGTTGTGTATAATATACAATCTACAGTTTAACACCCAACAAAGTCACATTTATTATAAACTATCACTATGACCTTTGATGTCTCTATGTGCACTTTGCACTTTGTATATACATGTATAGTGGATCATCATTACACTGACGTTGTCACTACAGTAAAACCTTGTTATACTGCCACCATTTGTTCAGTAAAACTTTGGCATTATAAAGGGATTTGGCAATAAATTTAGGAAACAGATAAAGGAATTCTTAAACCACCAGGAAAAAGTGACATTGAAATATGTTTGTAGTACACAGGGTGGCAAATGACAGGGGGTATTACATCAAGGTCTTATAATTACTGTATATATACAATGTTTGTATACACCTGTCATAGGCATAACTAGCAAACAACTATTCTTTGTGTGTTTTATGGGGAACATTGACCTTGTTACAATACCTGTTGTTGAGTTGCAAATAGACATGCTGATGGTGGCATATTCTTACATTTCAAAATTCATACCAGCAACATGGTTTTGACCTAAGGAAAGTTAATGATAACTAAAGGTCATGACCCCCCTCAACCCCTCACTAGATATTTGAAAACATCAATCGATTTTTCGACAATGAACATCTTGTTGCAGTTATTGCTAACATAAGACAGATTCCTTACCAATCTATATCTGTTTGCTTTAGCTGTGGCAGACATTGAGTTACGAAATTGTACAAGTTCCGGAATCGACTCCACAGAAAGTGTCCCGTTGGAACCCAGATTGCAGAGAGATCGGGTGGACGTCCCATTGCAGTTTAGTGGCGGCTCCATGACACTCAATCCACGCATCCTAACTTTACATTAAATTCCACATATGTTATCAAAGGTAGTGTATTCAGCCTAGATCTGCTACCAGGCAATGTTCAAACATTGGGACAGACATCGGAACTCCGTGACACAACTTCAAGAATAACATCCAAAGTTCACGATAAACGTCTGAATATCTCACAAACCTTTTTACACATACAGACCTTTGTGTGTTGTATGTATGGTGTTTTGTAAAAGTTACTCATCACGATTTTAAATTTCACCTTAAATGACACTACATACATAATATACTGCACACTGTCCTTAAACAGCTAATGTATTCCATGTCTTTCTAAGCCATATCTTTCACGAAGAATTGCAGGTACTCCATTAACTTTGCTACACAGGTAATTCTTCACCAACACTGGTACACCACTCTTCGTAAACGTGTCAGCTATTTTTGTCAAAAGCACAAATACCTCAATAATTTCACAGTCATGATCACAGTTGAACACTGTGCGGTCCAACCATATTTTACTCAGCGAGTGATTTTGAACAGAGACTATAAACACAGACACTAACACATGTACAGGTGAGCTGATCAGACCGTCACAAAAAGCGTGTCATGTCATTTCGCTAGCACACAGCTACTGTAGTTGTTCTAAAACTAAAACCAACAGCTACACTTGACCCCATGTGTAATGTCCTGAGGTAGGGGATCATCTACCATTTAAATGTCTTTATCCACTGTATTTTTCGGGAAGTGTATGTACATAGGATTTTCCATATCACAATGTACAGCATGTGTGCCTGTCTCTATCCCTCCTATTGGTCGGAAGTTCATCCTCACGCTAGTTTCCTATAAATTCAAGTGCAACAAGCGAAGCTATACCGCTGAGCTGAGCCAAGAAATAGTTGGGTTTAAATATCCACTGTTAGAAAAACCTGCATTCAAAACATCAAGGACAAGTCCAGGTCAAAACACTTTCCGGAGAACAGTAAATAGAGCAAAATACACTGTCACATGTGGAGTGCTACAGGTATGCTCTAGGTCCGATAGTGCGGTGCACAGTCGAGCAGGAGAAAAACTCTCCCCAGCTCCAAACAGTGTAACGTTATTACCCTGTGGCTCTGTGAGCAGGCTATAGCCTATCTGTACTATCATCAATAGCTAATCTCCCTAAAACCTGTTCCTGTAAGCACCCCTAAACCCTGCCCCTGAATACAGCTCACTAGCACAGTAGGACTGATAGCATTGTCATTGCCGAACAGCTTCAGGGCAACATATACACAAGGTGCGATTCCTCTGTCCATTTTTTTACAATTCTGTTTTTTGAGCAATTGATTTCCTCGACATTAATTTAATCAACAGTAACAGTTATTTATTTCAGTTATAATTTGTTTGTAATGATTTGAATACCTACATGGACAATTGATCCCACATAAATGATAACTAAACATCATGAAAATGTGTATTTTTTCTAATCTCTTTAGGTTGAAAATGTTATGAGGTTTTAAATCTTTATTCAAATTTACATGAGAATGATCCTCAATGGATTTTTTCCTACATCTTTTTTTGTTGTGTAAACTATACATATCTATCATTTTAATAACTTGGCTAGACCTAAACCTCAAAATAATGTGCCTCGTTCCATTTGCCATTTTTCTTCTACATCAACATTTCACTGTTTCAAGGACAATGTTTCTTTTTTCCTAACAATTCCTCCATACATCAGCCCTGATGTCTCACCAAACCTTTCAAAGTGCCAAAATTGCTAACAAAGTGGCAGTATAATAAGGATTTCCTGCTATCTGTTTACAGTTATATATACGGCTATAGAACAAGTTCCTTACCATAGAATTGTTTGTATCCTATAACCTTGTATTCTCTGTTGAGTAGATGGTCATGTCAAGCGGAGTTAAGCTGTACTGAATGGGACACATTCTGTACAGTTGATCAGTGCAAACGTTTATCTTATTTTGATCTTTATGTCAGTTTTTAACACCTCTACCTCTAAAGTCACATTTGAACGTTAATATATCACATACTGGGCAAGTCCAGTTTAAATATGCGGGGGTGAAGGAGTTAAACAGGTCACGTCTATCTTTTACAATGTAATTGGTCTGTATAAGCCTGTTTGTCAACAAGGTTTTATCCAGTGTTTTGTCATGAAGATAAGTCTAATGACAATATTTTCTTTAGAAAAGACAAAATAATCTCTTCATTCATAGACACATATGCAGGTAGAAAGACCACTGTGCAGCTCCTTGTTGGTATATAAAATGACACATGCTGGATATACGGGTATTCATATATAGCAGCAAAACAGTCAACATTATGCTTAATATCGATCATGGCTTTAAATGATTGCATGTAAATGAATCTCATTATAAATTCTGTGGAAGTTTTTTCTTCTCTCCGTGCACTAAAAATCAATATCGGAGGAACATTTGACAGTCTTTTAACTTGTAGAACCCATCTGGTATAAGTGTTATTATACAAGTGTGATACTGTAGACATACATCATCTAGTGCCTAATTATATATCATTCAATTTCTTTTTGTTTTTTTAGATACAATACATATTTAAAACATATTTCTCATGGTTTTTCATATCAACCTATGTCATTGTATAGAGATCAAACACCAGGTATGTTACTGCAGTCTTTAGGTTTTACCATATTGTTGTTGGTTTGGAGGATATGCCTTGGTACATAGTAGTTCACACCTGCTAATAGCAGCTCTAGGGTATTTTTTGAGCATGTTAAAACATTCAAGAAATAGACTTTACCGAACACAAAGAGATTGTCTTTTGGGTTGAAATTTTCCAAAATAAATATACGAAATACTGTTTTAGAACTGTAAACTGATTTGGACTTTGTTGATTCAGATTGATGAAAGGACCGATCTTGTAAGGGGAATAACTCAGGCACTACTACTGTAGCATATAACCTTAAGCTTTAATTGTTTTTAAAGTAATCCGGATATAAAAAGTATTCAATTAATGAAGCTTTTAATTTTATTATATCAATTGGGGTCAAAATTTGCTCTTAATAACAGGCTAAATTCCAGTTTGATAAATAACATTTTTCTAATGTATCATTTAACATTCCATTAAATTGTTTCATGTGTATTGCTAAATAGATTACATAAACCTTCCTATAATATTTTCCCCCCATGTTTTTTAAACTTACATAGATTTTTTTCCAATGTATTATTTACCTTGATTACATCTTTTCTATGTGTTGTTTTAAGAAAGTAGAATAAGATATTTTTCCACTAGTTACATTGTTGTTCCTCATGATTCAATGTATTTGTTAGTCAGTCAGGAGTTATCTCCCTTTAGCCTGAAATCTCTATAAAACAGCTACACCTCAATATCTTTCCTTTTCAACATACTCAGTTACACTGAAGCATAAAATACGTAATTTGTACAGGACATTTACACCAAATATATAGCATACCTAATCATTTTACAGTTTTTCTGAAGAGAAAAAAGCTGCAAAAGTGATGGGAAATTTATTGAATCTTACTAAGAACACTATATAGACAGACTTACCCTTCTTTTGCTGGGCTTTGGGTCCATTGCCTCGTGTCTAAGTCGTAGAGAGTCCAGACTCTGAAGGGAGTTGTAGGGCAGCAGACTTGTCTGGCTCCCGAAGGGCTTCATATCTGACTTGAGGGAACTTCCACCTGTCAAACAAAACAGCATTGATAACATAACACATATACAAACTGTATTGATACAAATAAACTTATGAAAATCATACCAATACTGGTCTTCAGAGGAAATTGTGTGAGAAAAAAGTTATATACTTAAATAGATTTGATACCAATCTATAAGACTTTTCTGTGGCAGGCATAGAATGGAGTCACAAATTGTACAGGTCCTGAATTTCACCCTACAGAAAGTGTATAAGTAGACCGGCTACCAGCCCCCAATTTTTTATGAAGAATTTCCTGGGTGCATTTTACTATTAGCTTATCTCCCCCTAGTTTGAGAACTTAGGAATCAGATATCCAAGTGATCAAAATTATTAGAGTTTATTTTTTTCTAAATGATTCAATATTCGAGAGACCGGGACCAGTCTAAAAGTGTAGATCAATCCAATCTATCAGATCCACAGTCTGCTATCAACTGGTTTTAATGTTATTAATGTTGAGGTTTATATATTTGTAGATTCTCCAAACAAAGATGGTGTCCTCTTTAAAGAGCCAAGCTGTCATCTTAAAAGGGGTATGTATATCCATCAAAACGGTTTTCTTCTAAACAGAAATTCATAGATAAATGTTTCCACCAACTTATGTTCATTTCCAGACAGAAATGCATAATATGCGTCATTTATATCCACCAGATTTTAGATAAAAACACTAGTCTCTTTCATTCCTATGTGTATAAGACAGAAATGTCCTAGGTAAGAAAGTGGTTAAGGTGGCTCGACACATCGTCATCAGCGTCCATTTTCGTGACGTACTTCCGGAAAAAGTACAGNTCTATTTTACACCCCATTTCACATGCCTGACATCACAAAATTAGGACCATTCTGATACCTAGAAGTGAAAATTGTGATGTATTTTTGTGATTTCTGAACTAATTTTGGTGATAGGAACGAAAGAAAGATAACATTTCATGCCCAGGGATAGGAAGAATTCCAAACTCAGGGTATTCAAATTTGTGCATACTTACCCTAAGTTGGCAAGCCATAGCTAGGGTTAACCCAATTTGAAAAACCCTTGGGCCAAACTTCCCTATCTTACACCATGGCCAGTGGCCAGGAATAATATAACTTCTGTATAGAGTTGTACCATGTTAATAAAACCCTGTGTAATTGGGGAACACTTCTGAACGAAAACTACAAAATGTCTGTAATGCCCCTGTTCCAATACAAACTAGTGTTGTTGTTTGACAAAATTTTATAAATAGCAATGGTGACCTTGACCTTGGAACTCTGAAATAGTTAATGCTAATGAAAAAAATCCTAAACTGAAATATACATAAAAGGTTTGAATGAATTAAAAGAAAAAAATACTTCAAAGGTGTAAAATTTTCAAAAACACTCTAATGACCCGTAAGTAATAGAAACTGGATACACCCTACAGGAAGGTGGTCTGTTTAAAAGGGAAGTAACTTTCAGCTGTTTCATCCCCAGGAAATGGGAAATAAATATCCTTGAAATCCTGTATGTGATAAAAATATTGGTAATGTTATATGTATGATGTAAAGTTAAGGTAGGTAGTCCTGTGGGCCTAGGCCCCCTGAAGTCTGTATAGACCTATACATCAGAGAAATTATTCCTCAAGGTATACCTGCACATTGGAATCACACTTACCAGGTAATTTAATGTTATCATTTGGATATTTTTTTTAAAAATAACGAAAAGTTGTTTTAGCATGGAGATGTTTTTGACATTGTTGTTAAAATAATAGAATTCACAACTAACATTACATACATCCTGATTCAAAATATTCAAAAGATAAAGAAACATGAGTCGGTTTCTGATCGTGTAATTACAGGTAAAGATGACAAAGCTTTAGGCACTGGGACATTATGGTTATAGACATGATGCATCATCTGATCAAGTGTGAGCTATTAATAACTAAAATATCAAAGAACAGCTCGGCATTCATATGTATACAAGCACACACCAATACCAGGTCTTCTGTACTGAAGTCTGCTAACAGTTTGTCTGTTTGCATTACAATAAACTTACGGAAAACTTCTCCTGTACATAACAATGTGATTGTCGTTTCTACCACAATTTCAAATACGAACTAAAAATAATAAATTATAATTAAGCCAGGCATTTTAACGAAGCAAAATAAAACCACTTGGCAAATAAAGGTTTACATGCTGTAATACTTACGGAGAATCAAAGCTAACATGCCTTCCGAGTGTGTTTATCAACTTGTGGACCAAATTAATTACAGTAAATCATCACAACAGTACTACACATACTGTTGACCTCTGGTTCTTATTGTTCAGTGATCCAAGAAAATCTTACACTCCATCTTGATAAACACCAACATATACATATTCCTCGTTCCTCTGTGTGCTCATTTCATATTTCTTTGGAACTTGAAAGCCTGTGAGTAGTACCCAAATGGGCAAAATTCAGACCGTTTGTCATGGTCATTTCCTCCATCTATGTCTAGCATTTGCAAAAATAAACGTGTGTAGTAATATAATTTTCAAACAATCAGTCAAAGCATCCCAAGGAGGAAGAGAAATAAGAAAATTTGTTACAGATAACATCTATCCATGTTGGTCAGGCCTATACCTCCTCGTTAACAATCCATCAATTTTGCTGGTCAAGCACTACATCTCCATATCAATATATAAACATTTAGATACACAATGGCTGATGGACAGAGGCCACTCTTAGTCCAGTAGCTGTAAATTATGGGGGGGTCATATCACTTTTCCCCCCTAACACACACACACCAGACCTTAGTGATTCAGGAATGTCACTTCTAATGGGGACACACCAGCCAACAAGGACCCTATATTATACCCAAAGAGTATTACCGCCTCAACTACGGTAAATAGGCTTTCTTTAACACTGACAAAAATGCACTTCAAAATTTTGAAGTGCGGAAGTGTTATCAATTTGTGTACTAAATTTGTCGTACCATAAATAAAGTTCAAACTACAGTTCATCAGATTTCATCTTGTGGACTCTTTTATGGAGCTATTTTAGAAAGGAGATTCATTTTACAATTACATGCATGCAGCATACGTCCTTAATGATCAATTACATTTAAATATTTATCAAATGCACTCTTTAAAACAAATTCAAACTTGAACAAATATGGAAAAAAATCTGTATATAATTCAAATGGAGATAATCCTTCTAATCGTCACCAGCTTACTCCTTTGTAAAACTTTCAAAAACCTCATGTTTCATCATTTGAAGTAAATTGAAAACAGAGATACCATCAAGTACCTATATTACAATACAATGTATTTGTTGAAAGACCACCCTTGATTTGTTGCAGTTTAAAAAAAAAAATATTGCGAGGGAGATTGTAGGTTTTTATGTTTAGATGATTTTTCAAGAATACCAAAGCTATCGAATGTTCTAGTTATCTGTCACATGTATACTTTCTACGTACTTATACCACTTGATGCATTTCAGCATTTTACGCACCACATAATATCCTCAATCCCCTATATCAAGTATCAAGGAAAAGATCACTTCAAAATATGTAAATCTTTGAAAACTTTTACTTTGGTCATGAAGAGCCAGAAAACACCTCAATGCTTTTTACATTAGACCGCCCTCCATGATGTCTATCAATGGTTCTGACTAGAATATAATCTGAACAAAATAGGCAAATGTAAACAAACATGATTTCTGGTTCCTGAAAAGGTAGGCTTACCAGTTCAACTTATCATGTTGTACTTACCTGTCTCTAGACAGACAGCCTGTAAGTGGAGATCAAATAGTACGGCATGTATGCTTATTATAGGGTCTATAAAACTGTCAATATATAACTAATATCCTTACTCTGTCCGTATTGCTGGCCACCATCAAAATTACTCCCTTACCAGTACAGGTACAAAACTCACAGTTAGGTTGACTGTATTATCAGGGAAATGAAAGCGTTCTTGAGAAAATACCTATATTACAATTACCATGTGTGACTATGTCACATTTTCATACTTCAAACTAAATGATAACATCGGGGTTCAATTACATTGACTGGGAAGAAAGGGCCCTACAATCCTACAGTACAGCAGAGACACAAATTACTCAAATGAAGCTTAATTGAATCCCTTAAACAGTCTAATCAAAATTTTGGTGAAGTCAGGTCATTTGCAGAATTTGAGGGATAGCTTTTGTAACTCATCATAATTTCACTGATATTTCATGCAAACATGCTAAAAATATGTGAACTGATTGTTAGAGTTATCTCCCATTGACTGTGTCAGTTGATTATTTCTAGTTAAAACTTAAAGCGATTTAACATGGTAAAACCATTTTCCGGGGGAAAAATACACTAATAGAGTAAAAAACAATGTTCTATAATTTTTTCATTAGAATGTAAACTATTCATTCAGGTTTCTTGACCAACAATCTTTATTTTTGTAAGATTGTGGGAATAATTCAACTGAGAAATCTATATACCACAGATTAAAATGCTTTCATTCAAATTGATGCAAAAATAAAAACTCGAAATTGAAAATAAAATAAATTGCCATGATATCAAGTTTCGGACATGGTGACCATGCAGAGTTAATCAGCTACGTAGGGGTCAATCGGTACACAGCGACAACACAACTGGACACAAAACAGCATTCGACCTCCAGAGGTATCATCACGGGACAGCAGTATTTTACACTCTGAAAGCTGCAGGACAAATCTCATGGATCAGTGATGGAGTGATTCTGACTTTCCACTCGTCTGATCATTGTAATGATAGGTAACAATCTTCAGTTGTACCGGGTATTGTATATTTACTGAAACATTCTTACAAAGTACATGTACCTTAATTTTGTTTCTTGAAATGGACCAGTGAAAAATCTAGCACAATAAGAAATTTTGAAATACAAAGGAAATATTAAGTTACTTTGGTTTTCAGGTAGAATGAATAAAATAAAGATACAAAGCAATGTCTACATTTTGAAACCTTGTGAGAAGAAACTTATCATTTATGCAGGGTAATTAAAACTATTTTTTAAGGTGATAATTTTGGGTTTAATATCAATGTTTAATATCAATGAAAGATTGAAGAAAAGATTTTTTTTTGAGAAAGAATAAATCATTTGTCTGCTGCCTTCAGAGATAAAATCGTGCGTGTTGCCCTTGAGATACCAGGGAGACCAGTGATCGTACCTTCCCAAGAAGACTCGAGGTCATCTAGGACCTCCCCATACAGTTCATCAAACAATTCCAAGTTCTCCTCTGAAAAGGTTAACAATCAAACTTTGTCTGTACCACACTTTTATAATAGATGAATGTAAACATAATTCTAACAGCTAATTTTGATAAATTAATAAACTCTTTAGGATATTGCTTTTTATTGGTTCCCACCATGCACACAACCTACCCCCAAAATGTGACAAAAGTATTCTCATATTTCGTAAAATCGTATGCAACACATTGTTTTTTTATTTGGTCATAGCATGATATAGCGTGAACAATTATTTTGATGTTCCATACCCAAAAAGTTTCAAAAGTACCACCTGACAAACAAAACGCTCACATTAACAATTACAGTCAGGAATATTTCCATACAGCTTAATATAAACAACGTCCATAGCAACTACATAGGTTACCATGGAAACAACACAAGACAACGAAGGATGAAGGGACACGGTCAGGTTTGTTCATGTTTACGAAAGGGATGACATTTTCTTCTGAATATTATAGGATAGTGTGTCCTATATCTACACATGCATTGGAGACGGACTCAAATTCATTCAAAAGTATGTTGATATAGCTTACAAAAGGTTTCATAATTTACGTCAAGGAAAATAAAACATGTTTATTTCACGACACTTGATTTGTTGTGATCCAATCTTTTAATTCATTGATCAAGATTTTCAGTAATTGACAGTTGTAACCTTACATCAGTAAGATTGTTAGGAATGTTTTATTTCAATTATGATACAAACAACATTCTTATTAGGATATGAATTCACAAAATGATCTAAAATAAAAGTGTTTATGAGATTTTTTTATTCACAACTGATTATCTATCTATTTATGCAACACATTGTATATATATATCTTATCAAATTTAGACAATTTCATTGAGATTCACCAACAATGAATGATTCAATACATTGTTCTATAATCAGCTTTTTATTTTACTTATATTTTGATTTAAAAAAAAAAAATCATTTTTTCCCTTATTATTGATAGTGCTACATTCATTCTCAAGGAGATTTACAGATGAATTCACTTGGTAAAGTTGAACTATAAACGGACAGCAATTTACTCCAGTACAATACTAATTATATATAAAGTATAAACATATGTGTTGTGATAATTAGGTATATACTTTCTCAGGTGAAATGCCTTACCTAGGTCAGATTTGGGGCGAGGTTTACTCTGCTGACTTCCTTCTCGCCGTTTGATGGGTGAAATTTCCGTCGTTTCCACCAGATCTGCCCATCGCACGCTGATTTCAGATTTTGGCCGTTCGGGTCGAGGGGAAGGGGATTTCCTCCGACGCACCACTGCAGAGTTTGAGTCCTGGACGTTTGTCTGAAAATTATAAGATATATTTTTAATTGTCAATACAAAAACTGTTTATATGTTGATATATACTGATTGATATATACTGACTAGTGAGTCTGCCATTAATTCATGAGATCAAAATTCGATGCTTCTTTTATGAGCTAGTCTACAGCAACACATTATACCAACCATCAGGTGGCATCCAGCACAAACCGTATCTTAACTCAGATACTCATCCTTAATCAACTCCATCAAATCTAGAAGGTTTTCTTACACAAAACATCAAAACTGAGCTGAGGAGTATTGATCTACAAAAAGTTTGCAAAGGAATCATACAGTGAGCTTCAGGGTCGTCTGACTGACTTAACTGTTGTATACGATTATGACTTGTAAAACACAATTCTTCAGTAAATAATTTAGCACATTTGAGCACTATTTCTGATCGTGCTAATCCCAGGGGATTTACTGTCAACCATTTTTTACCCATTTATTTGGTATTTGTCGTATATGAAACATTCAGTAAGTTTTCTGGGAATGCAAGCTAGGTTATATTTCAAATCCTTGTAGATGACAGGTTTCAGATATGAGTTTCATGGCAACTTTATTGACCTTTGAGTGTCTTCTGCTTGATATCAGTGCATCTCCAAATGGAATTACCAATTCCATTCATTGGTATACGTTATCTGGCATCCACCTTATGGATATCCTTTTTACCAGTTCCATGTTTTATTGACAATACTATGAAACTTGTGAAACAGAAATTGCTGTGATAAACTTTAAGAAATGAAATTTAAGTTTTCGTATCATTGTTTCTGGCCTGCTGACCCTCCCCAAAGCTGTGGAAATTCCACCCTTATCGTGCTTTTCCTATCCCTGAAATTCTCCCTCTGCTGTGAGAGAACAACATTTAAGAATGAAATACATAATAAATACCTCAAGATGTTCACAAGATTTGTGATTATTTGCTGCTGTTTTGACAATTTGTCACCAAATATAAGACACTTTCTTAAAGAAAGTTGTTCCCCCAAAGATTTTTCAGTGGCGGTGGTATCCCCTACTTGCCCCTTTGAAGGTTAGCAGACATGTTGTTATTTCTAAATATTTGAAGCATTTGATTAAACCTTATGAGCTGTTTGCTGAGGTGGATCCAGTGAAGGATGTCCTGTAAGACTTACCTGTATTACAGGTGATAAGGTCCGCAATGATACCACTTAATCATCCCTACGTCTCCCTCACAACAATACACACTACTGACTCACATTGACACCTCAGTCAGAAAGTAACTAACTACACAAACATGTCCTTCTACAGATAGCCACTATTGCTTCGTACAAGATCCACAAACTCAGGTTAATATCTGGTGCAAATCCAGTGTAATTCTTGATATATAGCCAGTGTAATACCAGTTTAAGCCATCTGTATACACCTGGTATATCGTAGAATAAATTGATTATACAAACACTTATTGTGGATCCCCTTTTATAGTCCACTAACATGGAATTACACTGTGAACACAGAACTCAATAACATGTTTTGTCTATAGCAAAGTATATCTCACTATCCAGGCGTCCAATATAAGCAAGGTGTTACACACAACTGTATGTGTTTGAAATCCTAGACAAACTTGGTACAATTTACACCACAACATACTGAAAAACATGTTTTCTATGAACATGCATACTAAAAAAAAAAAATGTTCATTTAAAAGTCATATTTTTGGTCAACCAACAAGAAATTGTTCATGTCTGTGAAAATTAGCCAACTGCAACTGAACAAATTTCTCAGGTCTTCTACAATTTCATATAAAAAGGTTATCAACTGTACATCTTTCGTAAATCCAGCATGAATTTAGTAAAAGATTCATTTCATACACCTTATAAATCAAAGCAAATATCCACGTAATATCCAGTGTAAAATCCAGTGTAAATGGAGTGTAAATTATCTGGTGTGCCACTAGACTATCAATCTGACCAGACCGACTTCAGCCTGCTCGAATAGCAAATTACGTCTTCTTCATATGTGCTCTGTGATGAACATTTCAGAGGAAGAGTTAGAAAAATACAACAAAGCTAAGAGTTACCTTGTACCTAGGCAATGTGCTTCAAACGTCAATATAACACACATCCGGTGTAAATTAACATTCTCTACAGCCCTGAATAGGTTTCCCTGCCAAGTTTAATTTTACCCTAAATTTTACTCATTTGTAGTATATTATGTAATTGATATTTGTTTTAATAGATGGCCCTTCACAGCTATGTTCTCCCAACTCTGATTCCACGCAAGATCTGTTAGAAATTATCCACTTACATCTTACATTCTGGAAACCGACCAAAGCATTGCTGTAATATTTGTAACACCTATAAGTATTTTAAATGGCAAGCACTGAATAACGAGGTAACAGGTAGCCTTACTGTGTTGCTAAGGAATTCTCTACCTTATGCCTTTTTTAAACTGTTTGCATCATCTTGTTTATTCTTTCTGCCATAAATAGTGACATTGAATCACGAATATTATACAACATCTATCAAGAAGAACAAGGCCCCTCCCTCTCCCCCTTCCTCTCCACCCCCAGCGCCAGCGCCAGCATAAAGAAATATTTTATTGAAAATATGTGATTCAGTTATCTATAATATCGTTTTTAATAAAAGTATATACTACACCTATATCAGTATAAATTGAATATTTAAGGAGCCTGCTTCCCCTGGAGACAAGCAGGCTTAAAAATATTTCAAAATATCAAAGGGAGGTAATAACACTTATTTTCAAAATGATACATTTCTCACCTGTTGAAGTATTTCTTTCTACAAGATACTAAACAAGAGTCTAGATTTACGTGAACTTTTCTATTGCTGTGATAAACAGAAAAAAATTGATTTGTAACATTACCAACAAGATCCGATACCGGACACATGTAAATGTATAACACTTTGGTTCACCAAAGTCATAGAAACAATTTAGCCAACAATAAGCGAGAGTAACCATAACAACAGTTTATACATAGAATTGAAAACTTCCATGCAATACAGTAATGTTTTGGCAGAGATTCAAAAAGAGACTCCCTTCTTATCACAAAACAAACAAGAGTCTTCAAGAAACCCAATACAGATATAAATGAAGATCTACAGAATTCCAAAGATTTGCGTGGGTTTTGATAGCAAAGCCCTTCTACAGCTTCTGCATAATACCACCTCTGATTAGAAAGATTAAAAAACAAATAGTTTAAGCTTGTTATTCAAGGAATTCTGTTATTCTACTTGTAATTAGCCCAATCTGCAGCAGTTACAAATTGTGAGGCAGTGTACAAAGTATAGGAGTAGTTAAAAGTGTGCATGGGTGGGGAACGCTCAAAACACCATGTGCCCAAGTACTAGGCTTATTTCCTATATTGAACAGTTTAACATTTAACATGCTCAGTGCAAACACACCTATATATGTTGGTCTCCTAACAAAGAACTTGGTCATAAACATCAAAATATTTCACAAATTAGATACGACATGAACTTAAATACACAAAGTTCCCCAGGTGCCTAATATAAAGAAGTCTTACATCATAATTCACTCATGTGCAATATTTGTATAACTGATGAGGTGAGTTAATTTAAGCATGGGCTTATCAGTGGTAAATTACAATACATTAAATTTTCTGACAGACTTAACAGGGAAGATAAAACTTAATTCTAACTGGTTTGACAGTTTATAGCATCTGCAGGGTTATCTCTTAATACTGTAAGGAGATACTACACTAAACTCATTACTACAACAACAGCAGCCCATTAATACAACACCTATCTATATTTACTGGCTTCAGGAGAAGAGTTATCTTCCCTGGATAAACTGTTGTTTGATAAACTGCCCATAAACAGGACAACTTAGCTGTAAAGCTATATATCTGTTAAATGATAATAATATTATAGTGATATAAACCTTACTTCTTGTCGTGTAATATAAAACATTACAGTGTTACTTTACAACGAGTTATCTCCCTTTATAAAATTTTTGGGGCTTACTTATGTTTGGACTATATTATATAAACAAATATTACAGACAAATCTAACACTTATCAAGTGTTATTAACATCATTCAGGAAGAGGCTACAGAAATTAACAAATTGTTCCCCATATAGCTCCTTTAAAGGGAGAGGTTCTTCCAGTACAAGGGTCACTGGTTAGATCCCTTACTGGGTTAATTACATGCAAGGTCACAAACAAGATGGAAGCCCTTTCTTTCTTGGTCATACCAAAACCAAAGCAAAGAGCCATCATGTCTTCACTTACTTGTGATCCCAAACTTCATAAATGACATTTTCAAGAAGAAATAGTCAAACTGATTTAAACATGATCTCATCAGCTTCAGAACAGGCAGGCAAATCATAAAACAGGACATTTCTATTTAAGACACGAAATTAATAGTTTAGCAAGACAAATATATTGTGCCTATTTACCTGCCGTGCACTTTCCATAAGCTCTGTTGTCAAGGTGAAAGACTTAAACTGCCTTCATCAGCAACGCAGATAAATTGTCCTGCTCTGAGGCTTAGTTGCCATGGTAATTGGATATGTTACCATGGTGATCAGCTAGATTGTTGATCATGGTCAGAGGCTCTGTTGCCATAGTCTGAAACTTGTCTCCTCTTGTGACTAGATAGGACACAGGGAGGATGAGGGACAGGCGATATTGTGTGTCACTGTGATGTTCCTCAAGTGTAACACCAGACACATGACAAATGAAACCAGACCTTTTACTGTAGTGCCAGATCAGTACACACTTAGGTACTACACAGAACACTTCAACACACAACCGATATAGGTGGTGACAAGTTCATTTCAACCAAATCTCATCCTACACACACCACAGCATGATCACTCACATATTCCTTTGACACCCACTGTATGGTCAACCAGACTCACACCACTGTATGGTCAGTTCTACTCACACCACTCTATGGTCAATCAGACTCACACCACTGTATGGTCAACCAGACTCACACCACTGTATGGTCAACCAGACTCACACCACTGTATGGCCAGT